CGATGGATAAAGGCGGGGAGGAGAGGGGGTGATGGATGATGGGTGGGGGGGGGGTGGGGAAGGGGGAGGGGGGGGGGAGGGGGGGGGGGTGGGGGCTGAGGGACAGCCTGGAGGGCTCCCTCTGAGCTGCTGTGTGTGTGTGTGTGTGTGCTGTTACAGACTCCATGCACGTTGAGGAGGTGGGCAGTATACAGCGGCTGCAGGACTCTCTCCATGAGGCGCTGGTGGATTATGAAGCAAGTGAACACCCAGAGGACCCTCGGAGAGCAGGCAAGTTACTGATGAGCCTGCCCCTGCTCAGACAAACTGCCAGCAAGGCCGTGCAACATTTCCACAGCATCAAACTGCAAGGCAAGGTCCCCATGCACAAGCTCTTCCTCGAAATGCTCGATGCCAAAATCTGATAGCACCAACCCAGAGAGTCAACAAGCAACTCAAAACCCAACCTTTCAAATCCCCTCATCACTTCTTCACCATGAAATCAATTCACCACTTACCATGATCCATTATTTTTGAAAAACAATGCTATCTCTACGTAGATATAAATTAGAGATTGGAATTGTGGTGTGCTGTGAATTAACAGATAGAACATTCTGGAACCTTCGCTGAGGACCGGGATCCCTTGCCCCTGTGAGGACAGGACTGGCTCTGACACTGTGTCTGACACACAGGGCTCCTGATCCAAAACAGCCCAGCATCGGAGATTAATTCAATCAACCATCAACACCAAATCACATTGGACATCAAGGAGGGATTTCCGGGAGGAACATTGATGCCTCAGAACAAGCAAGGAAAGATCCTGAGGTGTGGATTCCAGCCTTGAGCTTGAGAGGGTTTTTTCTTCTGAACAAAAACCCCTCACTTCATCATCAGCTGAGAACTCTCAACCTGGTAACGAACCACAAAGTGAAGGGATTTGTGACCTGAGTCAGTGTCTTCACCTGTGTCTGTTTCTGGCTCATTCTCTAGGACATGTTTAGAAAAAGGTACCATTTGTCAGCACAGGCTTGGTGGGCCGAAGGGCCTGTTCCTGCGTAGACAGTTCTGTGACTGGCTCAGTGTGGTCAGAGGGAGCTGGTCAACACACATCGACTGGATAATAGGATTGAAATCGGAGTTTTCCCCACCCTCTCCCTGTACCCTCACCAACCCTCCAAGTCCTATTTTAATGCTGTCCTGTGCATCAGCCCCTTCCCCCATGGTACATTGGGCACACTCCTGTCCTTCTGTCCTGGTTCTAAACGCCCGCCCGGAGGCACAGGGCAATGTCGGAGAGTAGTCCAGAGCTGCTGCTGGGACTGGGGCCTGGAGTCAGGACGCTCGTGAGAGACATTGGGCAAGGAAGGGTGGGGGGGGTGTTTCCTGTGTCAGCCCAGAGAGTCGGGGCTACGTAATTCCTGTCTTTACCTTGTAACTCTGAGTTTGTCAATAGCATCTTGCCAACAGCTACAATACCTCACCTCATTGGACAAACAGATCGTTAGCCTCAATTAA